ATATATATATATATATATATATATAAATAAAGGGATGTTATTCTACATCATTTGCCATTTCTACACCTTATACAACCCTCATCTCAACCATTTAATTTTTAATTAATTAATTGTTTCCTAATATAAATTATTAATCATAATTAATAAACTATATTCATATTCCATAAATATTCAAATCATAATAAATGAACTCCAATCATTTTTATAAATATCTCAATTAACTGGGCTGCAAAGGTTGTAAAAGAAATATAACCTATATATATATATATATACATCCGTATCCTTCTGGACGCTTTCTTCCGTTTTAAAAAGACTTTTTGAGTTCTGGGGTTTTGTTTTCTGGTTTGGTTCTCGATCCACAACAATGGCGGAGAATGGCGAAGAAAAACAAGAAGGTACGTATCGATTCAATCTATTTTCCAAGCAAATTAATAGGTAGGTATGTGTTATTGAATGAATCCACGAATTTTTGATTTGATTTTGCTATCCAGGTCGCATCTATTTCCGTAAACCCTTGAAGAACAATAATATATCAATACAAACTAAAGGAGATGAAGCCTCTGCTGTTGTGATGAAGAAGAAATTGCCTGCTCCACCAGACAATAAACTACATTTTGCAACATCTCGATGGTTTTCTAAGCAATTAGAGAAGGCGTCGATGTTTCAGTACGATTCTTCCAAAGAAATTCAAGTTCACAACGACAGTAGAGCAACAGCAACACTCGAAACAGAAACAGAATTTTCCAGAGATTCGAGGTCAATTCGTGAAAGAGTTCTGAAGCGAGCAGACGAAGCTTTAAAAGGCAAACAAAAGAGTAATTATAATGACGATCATAAGTTATACAAAGGCATTCATGCGTATACGGATCATAAAGCTGGTTTTAGACGTGAGCAAACTGTTTCAAGTGGATTCCATGGTCCATTGAGAGCTCCTGTTCATATTAGAACTTCGACTAGATTCGATTACCAACCAGATGTGTGTAAGGACTATAAACAAACCGGTTACTGTGGTTACGGCGATTCATGTAAATTTTTACATGATCGCGGCGATTATAAGTCAGGCTGGCAACTAGAGAACCAATGGAATGAATCAGAGAAGGAAAGGAAGAGGAAATTGGCATTCAAAGATGAAGATGATGATGATGATGTTGAAGATGAAGACGATGGACTTCCGATTGCTTGTTTTATCTGCAGAGATCCATTTGTTAACCCTGTTGCGACCAACTGCAAGCATTATTTCTGTGAGAAGTGTGCTTTAAAGGTAATTAGATTCTCATCATCATCATCATCAATTTTATTCATAAGATTATCGTATGTTGTCTTTTATGCTTAATTTTTGATTTGATATATGTATATGCAGCACCATGGAAAGAAGAAATCGTGTTATGTGTGCAATCGGCCAACGCATGGGATATTCAACTCGGCACATGAAATACGAAAAAAGATGAAGATGGGGAAATAGCTAGCTAGCTAGGTATTGTTTTAGATTTGGCACTAATTACACAATGGTGTTGTTCCTCTGCTTTCATTTACTGCATGAATACATATACATCTCTGTGGTTTTTGATTCGTCAAATATATATATCCTCTACTGTATGCACCGTTTAATAATTATGAGAATTTAATAATCCAAGCCACCAATACATGCATAATGCTTGCATACTACATACATACATATACACACATAACTTGGAATCATGTGATACCCATAAGACCAATTCTTAACACTTAGATTATGTCTACAATACGATAATTTGAACATTTATAAACACCACGAGACTTCTCAATAATCACAGAATTATCACCGTGCAACTTTAGACCATTAGATTATTAACTTATAAAGTTGATCAATGAACATACATTGGTCTCACGGGTCTCACGAAAAACCCTTGGTCTCACGTGAACCCCCACATATGTATGTAGTTATGGCAGCTTATTGGAAAAATTTTCTTTAAATATATAGGTATTGAGTAATTAATTATTGGGGAGTTAGAATTGAATCATTTGTTTGTATTTGTGGCTCCCTGATTAGTTCATCAATGGAATATATACTTGTTATTGTTTGATGGATGGACATTGGGTTCAACAAGTTTAGACTAAATGCATGTATTTATTACTGTGTTATGGCAGCTTATTGGAGAATAGACGTTAGGGTGGGATATGTAAGCCAACAATGACCTAGTAACAATGGAATAAGCACTTCTTTGACTTGTGTTGTTTGGTTTGCCTTTCTTGTTTTCAACTTGTTTTTCGAGTGTTGTTTTCTGCATATCTCTGCACTTTAACTTGCATTCGGATAGGGATAGGACATACTGGGGATTGTTTGGTTTTGAGATGATCATGTTAAATATATATTTCATATCGGAAATCATACAGATCTTAGCTTTACAAAACCAACCGAGATCCAATTTTTCAAACTTTCTCCTCCGTCCTTTTCCCTCCGTTCATCGCCTAATAGCCATCCGGTGGCTCCTCCACCAGGTACTCAAAATCCTATAATTAATTGGTCGAGAAACTAAAACGATATGCTACAAAGTCCCGAGAGGCAATGTCATCATTATGATTCATGAACAGCTAATGCTAAAATGGGGATAGAGAATGCATAAATGAGATAAGAGTGAATATGTGTTAAGAACATAAATGAGCTAAACCTAAAACAATTAACAATCTGAAACTAAACCTAAACCATTAATAATTTGAATCTAAAACCAAACAATTAATGGTTTGATAGTTTTACACATGTCGATAAAAAGATATAAACACATGTAACCTGTTCAAAATCTCACATTTAACATGGTAAGTGACGAATGTATATATTTGAATCCAGATATCTAAAAGTATTGGCGATTTTGGAAGATTCTTTGCTTTGCATGCATGGTAGTGGGGTCTGCTGCACTATGGTTTTATTGGGTTGTCGTTTTCTGGGGAAAGAAATTGGTTTTTCTTTTTTTTCCTTCCCCAAACAAGAATCATCTCTTAATGTAATTATTAAAAGGTAAACAAAACAACCCCTAAAAAGGATTATGTCCTTATATGATATATTAGTAGAAATTTTAATCAAAAGCTCCTAAAATTTGAGGGTGTTATATATGCCGTAGTTGATAATTAGTAGGATCCCTTGTGGCCACAGAAGTTCAAATGCGGTGACTCCGGACTATCTGCAAAGCAGGTGGTTGTCCTGAATTAGTCGGCTTACATAACGGGTTGGATATCCAGGTTATTAAAAAAAAATTAGTAGGATCAAGTTTTAGACCAAAACTTGAATTATGGGTCATATTATGGACAATCACAACCTGTAACCCTTTGATCATGAGAACCACCAGTCATATTTAATTTAAGTGACCACAAACCAATCAAATTCCAAAGGACCACACGTAATCAGCAAAATAAACCCAAGGAGTAGTACCAGATAACTTCTCTGATGACGTGGTGAAGGACTGAGATCTGGAGATGGAGAGTCTGGTGGTGGTCACAAGATGTGAATAGGGTGAGATCTGGTAGCCATGGTGACTCACCATGATGGTGGTGGTGGTGTGACTTATTTCACTAACCGGAGGAAGAAGAAAGGAACGATGACCTGCTCTAATAAAGATTTTTTGATATATATATATATATATATATATATATATATATATATATATGATGAGTTATTATGCAACATTTTACATTTATACAACCAAAGACAATTTAATCTCAACCGTCCATTTAATTTGATGAATATGTGATTTCATAAAAGTTTTGATTGTTTCTTAATATAAAGTATTGATCATAATTAATGAACCCTAGTCATCTTCGATAAATATTCAAATCATAATAAATGAACTCACATCATATCTATAAATATCTCAATTAATTGGGTTGTATTTGTTGTACAAATGTGATTGGATGCATTTGAAACATCCTTTGTTTCATTAAATTGTTTATTATGATGAAATTGTTTCAAATAATACTTTTCTTGATAAAATTGTTTCATACATGGTTGTTCTTATGTTTTTAATGAAACTGTTTCATGTATTTTTCTAAAATTAATATAATGAAGATGATAATATTCATCACAATAGAAATAACTAATCAACTTCTCATAATTACAAAAAAAATGAAAAAAATAAAAAATTATGATTAGTTGAATGAGGTTTGTACGAGTTGTCCAAATAATGTGGTTTGCAAAGTACACATTCTTATATATAGGGGAGCGATCAAATGCAAACCGTCCATATTTGTACAAACAGTGCGAACCATTATCATCCATTGATTTCATTGTTTAATGAAATTGTTTTGATATGATAAAATTGTTTCATATATGTTTGTTCTTATGTTTTTAATGAAACTAATTTATGTATTTCTTTAAAATTAATACGGTTTGATGTGGTTTTGAGAAAACGATAATGTTTTTATTTTTGAATAAAATATAAATATGAATATATATCATAAAAAATTAAAAAAAAATATATTGGTATTAGCACCAAACTAATTATTAAAAATTTATTCTTTTTGTGTATTTTTAATTCAATTTTTTATTTTTGGTTTAATAATATAATTTTTTTATAAAGATAATTATTAAGTATTTTGTTAGACATCAATAATTATCTTACTTATATTTTAGATTTTTTATATTTAAAATACGATGTTTATCATCTATTGGATTATGTTTATCTGCTGTTAGTTATACGAATTTAAATATAGAACTTTAATAAGTTGTACTTACGCACAATTTACTTTTAATTTTAAAAATTAAGTAAATTGGCATTATATAACAATACATAATGCTTAAAAAATTGTTTTTAAAAGATTGTGTCAAATGTTTTATAATATAAATAGAAGCGTACTCGCGCAATGCAGCGAGAT